CCAGTTAGAGTTGTGCCTCTTCAAGCTTGATTACCTAGCCCATGTTGTGTATCAAATCTTCCATGTTTATATTTGTTCAGTTTTAATCGATAAAATAGTAAGAATATTTATTCCACTTGTAGCCTCATAGATGTTTACTTATTAAGACTTAATGTCAAACATATATTTTATACCTTATTCGTAGATAGAGATATTTATTATTTTTATAAGAATGAATCTCCTACCTAGCATCATATATACAATTTTGTGTACTTTTTGGATCTTCTATATGGAAACGTTTAGCTTTAAGACTGGCGCTGCCTTTTTTCACGATCCTATCCGAATTTGGCTTGGAAAAGTTTCAATCCGGACAAATAAATCTTATTATTGATTTCTACGCTGATAGTCAGCTCAGTCACATTCCTCACCTCATAGATAGAATGCTAGTGTGCCCGTCTGTCTAAATAATCATCAGAAGGTATCTATATTTTATATTTAGGCCTAGCATTCTTCAAGGAACCAGCAACTTTAATTATTTTTTAAAATCCAAGACGATCCCTTTAGTCTAATCTTTGTGATTTTTAAATATTAAGTAGATTCGTTGTCATCTTTTTTTCGGGTTAAATAAATTACCTTTTTGTCCAGCTTCACAAAAAGGTACAAGTTTAAGGACGAATTTCATAATTTCATTATTACTTGTATTATGTAGCTCTTTACTATTTTAAAATGATTCTCTTCTCTCCCAGGTCGTGAGAAGCAGATGGCTCGATCTCGGGCTCGAACTCGCCAGCTGGCCCCTGGCACTGGTGGCGTTGGGGACGCCCTTGCAACTAGTGATAGAAAGAAAGCTTTCTCGTCTGAAATCAAACAGCATGAAGGATCTCAGTCCAATGCAACGTCGGGGTCTGCAAGTAACGTTCGTCTTGACGTAGATGGTGGCGGGACGATAATTAGGATGCAGGAGCCGCACACAGAGGCTGGGACAAAGGTGCATGCAGAAGAAAGTGATAAATCTGACGGGAAAGAAGTGGTAAAGGAATCGTCATTCGATCGGCCTGCAGAATTAGATGACAAGTCAGCTTCTGAATCTGAAGTGGAAGAGGAATGTCACAAAAGATCTCCTTCTCCAAGACGAGCAGCTGATCTAGACAGAATCCAAGCTGAGATTGATACACTTAAACGATTCGCCGATACCTCGGGAATGTCACAGGTGGGCAAGTAATAACTATAGGCCAAGTATGTAGGTGTGGATTATACAACTCTTAAGCTATGCAAAATTTTCGATCATAAAGAATTTTTCTACATTTAAAGTGGCTCTAAAAGTGAATCACTGTCACAGTTTCGGAAAAATAGCACTAGGATTCTGCGTTAGCTATACTTTCTTTAGTAGTTATTTCTTAACGTCCGTCGCCTTCTTTTTTTCCTTGTGAAAGTTTCTGCATCAATATTTCTTCATTAGAGAATAAGTGCACACGCTTGATGAATTCTTGTATGCTAACCCAAAAGGAAGAGGAAAATGATTCACATTTTTTTCTCTAAATGGATATGCTGATGAATCATACATTTATGGTGCTTACTTTATCAACTAGATATTAATTATAATGGCTGAACTACTAACTAGTACATCACTAAAATATAACGAATCATATTTGACGATACAGCTATCTAGATAATAGTCAGTACTGGTGAAAGAGATTGTGCTTTACGATTGAAAAGCTGGAGGATGACTGCTTCCATGACAAAATACTAAATTCCTATCTTTACTAATAATGTTTTTTGTATAACGAACTTCACTCATCGAGGCCGCTAGGCCGCTTATTTACATCGTAATTTTAACAAATATATTTGGGGTAATCTTTGCATATAGTAGCGATTTATTTCCGAAGCATAAGCTTCATTTACAATAAATTCGATGCATTTTAGCCTAAT